CTCAAGAAAGAAAACATATACATGCTTAAATGCAGAGGGGAGGATGTAAACATACATGTGAAATGTTAACAGTAATATTTCTGGATGGTATAAGTATGGATAATTTTGAGTTTCTTCTTTATGTGATTCTTAGGGGAATAAAGTTTTTTTGACAGGCCTGTATTAATCCCATTTATACAATACATAACTTTAGGGAGCCAGGAAAAAAAAAAAATGATTAAGAAAGAAAAAGGACTTATAGTTTATCAGAGAGTGGGTACATTTTAATTAAGGAAAGTTTGATGGATAGGCCTGTGGCAGGCAGAATAACTGAGTCTCAAAGATGTCCATGTCCTAATTCTGGAACCTGGGAATACATTATGTTACAAGGCAAGAGAACTGAGGTTGGTACACAGAATTCCCCTGGAAAAAACAAAAGAGAGAAGTAAGGTTGGACTTAAATTACTAATTAGCCAACCTTAAAATAGGGAAACTATCCTGAATTATCCCTGTGGGCCCAGTATAATTACAAAGTTTCTTAAAAGTAGATAAGGGAGGTTAGAAGAACAGACAGAAGGACGTGATGACAGAAGCGACTATGGAATGAGGTGAGGTGAGAAGAACTTGACTTGTTTTTGTGCGGTTTAAAGATGGAGGAAGGAGTCATGAGCTAAGGAGCATGGGCAGCCTTTAGAAAGGCAAGTAAATAGAATGTCTCCTAGGGCCCCTAAAGAGAACCCAGACTTTAACACCTTAGTTTTAGCCCGGCGAGAATCACGTTACACTTCTGACTCCAGGACTTGAGATAATAAATTTGTGGTGTGTTAAGCTAGCATAGCTACGATAGATTAATTTGTTACAGCAGCAAAAGGAAACTGACATGAGACATAATACCAAAAAAACAGTGTGACTGAACCAAATGTCACCTCCCTGATCTTGAATATCCTTTCATTGTGTCTCAGCAATACAATCAGATCCTGAGCACAATAATGCAGCTAAGTTGCCTGTGTAATCAGGGTATGTGTGCAAAACAGAAGAGTATTTGATATAGAGAATATGTTCAATAAATGTGGTCATGCTCCTCTCCTCCTTCACTGAATAATCAATTAAATGTCATGCTGGATATGTTACTTATAAAGTATCATATTAAATGGGATTTTTTGAGATAATTTAAAGTTTTCACACGTATTAGCATTTATAACTATGAATATTGCTTAATATTATACCACATGCATTTTTCCTGATTTATGACTATCTCTACACATACTTCTTTGTAGCTGCATAGTTGTCTTTGTCTGATTGGGCTGCTATAATAAAATAACAGACTGGGTAATTTATATATAATAGAAATTTACTGCTTACTATTCTAGAGCCTGGGAAGCCCAGGATCAAAGTGCTTACAGATTTGGTGTATGCTGAGGGCTTGTTCTTCATGATGGCGCCTTCGTCCTACAGCCTTACGTGGTAGAAGAGACAAAAATCAAACTGTGGAAGAGGCAAACATGCTCCCTTCAAGCCTCTTTTATAAGGGCACCAATCTCATTCATGAGGCCATTGTGGTCATGAACTAATCACCTCCCAAAGACCCCACATCTTAATAAGATCACCTTGGGTATCAGGTTTCAACATCTGAACTTAGAGGGGTCATCAGCATTTAGACCACTGCAATGGTATTCCATAAGTTGAATGTTACGTGATTTAACCATTTACATCATCCAGAACACTAATTGTGGTCAAGGTAACTTAATCTTTGATTCTAGACTGATAGGTCTAAATCTCTTTGGGGTATGAATATCCTTCTTAATGCCATGAAATTTTTGATTTTTCCCTCAGGGGAAATAAAACCCATATTACAAACACATACAATAGGTGTGTGTACAATTTCCCTTGGAAAGTTATAAATGGAGTCAAAAGAAGGACCTTAGGTTAAGGATTTCTGTTCTAGACCATTTGAGGTGCCAGTTCATTTTGTGAACTTGCAAGTATCCATCATTAATTACCTTAGTATGTACATTGCGCCTGATTTATAAACATCCAGACTTATCACAAGATAACAACAGTTAGCATTCACTGAGCTTTTATGCTCGGCAGAC